CATTTGGTCAACTGAGCATGTGTGTGTAGTGTGGCTAGGGCAACAAGTTAGGCCATTCCGTATTGGGCAAATACATGAGATAATTGCCAGAACAATCGGGTGCTATGTGATCTAACCAATGGGAATGGCTTGGTTCGTAATGTAGTGATATAGTCTGTACTAAACTTTGAGGTACCACTCCAGCCCTACTTCTTCTCAAGAGGTGCATACACTCAGTCTTATACCAGTGGAATTACACTAGTTCAATGAAGAACTCTTCACATCGACCTCTCCATTCGCTTGGGACTAGAGAAAGCAAGGGTTCTTCCCTATTCTACTATAAAAGAACAAAAGGGAAAAATTTCCATTGGGGAGAACACCAGAGATGTGCTTGGACTGAACAGAAAAGATCAAATCTGAGTAGGACCTATACTGATAGACCGTGCAGTAAGTTACCACAACTAAGGAAAGCAGACACTGGCCACGTGTGAGGGCAGATACATCAGGTTGTTGTAGTTTTTTTTTCTTGTGAAGTATGGCCTAGAAGATAAAATATATGGAGATTGCCAAAGCAGTCTTGCTAAAAAACCATCTCAATAGCAGGCTTTGAACAAGGGTAGATGAGCTTAACATTTACTACACTTCCCTGCAAGGCATCACAGATCATTTGGTGGATTTCAACATCTTTAGTACAGGGTGGTCCAAATTGTCATCCTTATTTAAACAACTCAAGAAATACAACTATGCAGTTTTCAACATCTTGTAGCCCAACTCACAATTTTTATTATTATGTTTTTTTCATTTCAGTGTGTAGTGCTACACAATTAAATGGCAACTGTGCAAGAAAAGGCTCAATGTGTTATTTGGCTTGCAGGATGGGCCAATTCCATGGCCTCTGCATTTGCCAGACATCACTCGACTAGACTTCTTTCTTTGGGGGTATGTTAAAGACATTGTGTATTACACACCTACAGCAAACAACATGGTGCTAAAGACCAAGATAACAGATATCAGCACCACTGTAACTGTGGACATGTTGCAGCAAATGTGGACTGAAATCTAATATTGGTTCGACATGTTGAGAGCCATTAATGGTGTTCATGTAGAAGTTTACTGACGTGTCAATGAAATCTATTTGTGTTAGGCTACAAGATGTTGAATATTGCATGGTTGTATTCTTTAGTTATTTCATTATTAAATTTTAAAATAGGAAAGATAATTTTGGAACAACCTGTATATATATATATATATATATACACACATCAATACATATTAATAACAATATGTGAGATGTAAAAAGAAACAAATAAAAAATAATTAATATACCCTTCACTCAAGTCTCTGGGAAGACTGAAGTATGGTGACTGAAGGGAGATGAAATTCACATGCAGACGAAACTATATGATGTAAGTAATGTGGCAGAAGGTATAGGGAGTCATCCACATCCCTGCCTGCAAGATCTCATCCAGAGGACGTAAATAATGACAGCCAAGAAAAGCTGTGAAATGGCAAACCTAATAGGAGGTTATCTGATAAAGTTGACAGTCATCCTCTCCCATGGAAGAATAAACAAGCTGGAAGAGTTGATGGACCCAATAAGTCAAAGCAGAAGGTGATATGATACAAGGAGAAGAGGAATCCCCCACCCGAAAAAGTGATTATCACATAAAGGAGCATTATGAGTGAGGTAACATTGAACTGCTTGAACAAGACAAAGAAGAAAACTGGGATCAAAATTATTATATGGAGAAAAAATGGAAAACAATTGGAGTAAACATCCAATCATCTTACTGGACAGCCCAAGTTTTAGGGAGAACATAGTAGTCTGGGAACAAAATCAACCCATTTATGATATAAAGTGGTTGAGAGATTTTTAAGGCAAAAATATCAGAGTGATGCCTTCTTCAAGCAAGAAAAAATTAAACTAAATCTTGAAAGAAAAACGATACAAGGAATAGCAGGCCAAAAGTTCAAACAGAGAACATGAGGGCATGGAGAATGAAAGAGAGAGGTTGTAGACAGGAAGAGGGGCCAGGTGAGGAGAACAACTGATAAGAATAGCTGAGAAAGGGCCTTATAAGAACTGGAGAAAGAAAAGGAAAATGGCTGGGAAAAAGATGTAAAGTCACTGACAAAGCTGTCATGTAACTTGTGATCACAGAAATGAGTAATCTACTCTCAAAAGTCAGTAAAAAGAAAGATTGATCCAACCCTGTCTCAAAGTATTTACGGCTAGAGCTGCAGAATCTGGGATTGGTGACCAGAAAAGATGAAGCTTGATGTTGAGGGGAGTTGCAAAGGAATTAATGAGAGGACTCTCCAAATGAGAACAATCCACTGAAATTCCAGAGGATGAAGCAACCATTCCATAGGAAGAATCCAGTCCAAGTGAGACAGACAATCTGCCATTTGGTTCAAAGCACAAAGACATGACAGACCAACAGCCGAATGTGGTGCTTGCAGATCCAAAAAAGAAAATCAAGAAATGAAAGCAGAGATCCTCCATGTTAGTTGATGTAAGACAAGTTAGTGTAGTTGTCTGAATGAATCATCACAAGACGACCAAACAGATGAGGCTGAAGATGATAGCTAGCTCAGTAGCCCAGTTTGAAAATAATGATACAGGTCTGCTTCCCTGGAAACTATATGTCAGAAAGAGTATAGGTGTCCAACCCTTGCCCCCCTCCAAAAAAAAGGAGACATCAATAAATGGATGCAGTTCTGGGTGAGGTGTGGGAAAAGGGATGGCAAGAGTAATGTGGAGCTGATCAAGTCACAAGGACAGTGAGAGATAAAAGAGATGTGAGGGAATTACTAGAAATATTCCAATGATCTACTAGAAGACATTGAAGGGGCACATCTGAGAAAAACAAAGAAATCGAGCAAAGTCAGATCCCCAGAAAGAGATAGAACCTTCAGAGAACACATGGGAGCTTTGATAACTATAAACTCCATATCTCAAAGATGATTGAGTCTGCTCTGCAAACAAGTTGAAAAAGACTCCCAAGTGAATGGGATACTGAGTGGGGATCAAGACGGCCTAGAAGAACTTGACATGCCAAACCAAATAAGACAACATCTAAAGAAAAAGAAAAGTCACAACCATGGATGCTTCTGTAAATTGAGCAAGAAAAAGCCAGTTATCCATAGAGTAATGGAAATGAAGATCCAGCAACTATATCTGCCATTTGAAAGCACTCATGAACTGACTGATGATGTATGGGGCCATAGCGAACATAAAGGGAAGGACCAAGAACTGAAAAATCTGATAATTGTGGGTAAACAATATATTAAAAAAAAAGTAGAAAAACAAATCAGGATGTAGAGAAAAGCATCCACAACAGTGGCATTGGTCATCCACAGACAAGGACAGAACACCCACCTCAAAATGAGAAACCTGGCCATCTTGAACTGAGAGGTAACAAAAAACTTGTTCAAGGACAAGAGATCTATGACATTGCACCAGTTTCCCTCCACATTGGGAATAACAAAAAGACAGGAGTAAAAACACAGACAGGGGTTGAGGACCTATTCCACAGCATTCATAGCCCATAGAAAAGACACAGACTCTCCAAAGTGACAAAAGCAAGTAAGATTTTAGGGGTTGGAAAGACTCCTGGAAAAGAAAACGAGCACAAAAATACAGGGAAAGTCTAAAGGAAAGCATCTGTATGATCCAAAGAACTTCTGTAAAAGAAGTCCACAAGTACATAAAGAGATAGGGCTGAGCTCCCGCTGAATCAGAGCAGAGAAATACCTCTATGATCTGTGATGACCAGCTCTACAAGAGGGAGGGGGAACTTTGAAAAGAAGTGAGATGCTGAGGAACAGAAGAAAGTGCAACGAGACTCTCAATAACAAGAAACCTGTTACGACCACCTGAATTGAAAAAATCAGGAAAATAATCAGAGAAGACTGCTGATTAGCAGCCTCAGCTGAAGTTTCCAAATGTAAGGAACACTTCCAAAGACCTGGTCTTGAAGGAAAGTTGCCAGATGGCTAAGCAGCAAAAAAAAACTATATAATGAGAAAATAAAAAACACATACTTGCATAATCCAAGCAGTGAAGAATGAAAGTGAGAGTACCTGATCTTTATTGGCAAGAGAGAAATAAAAGCAAAAACAAACATGGAAACAACCTTGGTGAAACTCGCTGAAAAATGGGGCAGACTCAGCTGAACTAAATATAAACAGGAAGTTAGGAATCCTGAATCTAAGATCACAATGGAACCAACCACCTGGTATATAATGTTGGTAATATTACTGGCCATTAGTGTGTCTCCAGTCACAATTACAGTACTGGATAACTCCTGTTGAGAAATTTCAGAACCTCAGGTGATGTTGGAAATGTATAAGCACAAATTTTTAATCTAGATGATCCACATACAGACTTTCTTCTTTACTTAAGAAATAAAAATTAGCTTAGTAAGTCAATGGTGCATAGGCCTAGGTCTTTAACCTATTGATGACAAGGAAGAGCAGTTAACAACTCATGTGCTGAGTTAAAACAATAGGAACCAGTATTGTCAAAGAAGCTTTATCATTAATTTATAAAGATGTATCAGTGGTTTTACATTTGCATAGCCCTCATTATACATCAGACATTTAATCTTAATTCAACTGTTAACAAAACACATCAATGGTAAATGGCTAATCAAAAAATCTTACCATTTTCAATACCTCAGGTAAAGTGACTTATCTGCCCTCTACTAGAGTTATTGGTGTCTTTAATTTGATGTTGATAATCACTTATTAAACTATAAAAAGTGAAATAATTCAGTAGGTTACTATAAGTCCAAGCAATCCACCAATAAGTGGAACACTTTCATGACTGTGTCAAATATTTATGGATCAGAAAATAGAATTTATTCTGTATAAAAAATTTAAAAAAAAATCATTTTACAATCAGTTGTGGACAATTTTTAGCATGCAATTAAATAAAAAAGGCAATATTGCACAATTATGATAAAGAAAAATCTTAGCAAGAACACAAAGCATGAACTTCAAGGATATGCACTTACTACTGGGTAATGTAAAAGTTTCTTCTTCATTTTTTGCCAATTTCATACCCAACAAGGCATCCTGTACTTCATCAGAAAAAGGACCCACCTTCTCCTTTAATACTTCCATAGTTACTTCAGAGTGTCACCTTTATATTTTTTTTTATCAAAGCTTGCTGTTAAAATGTAGAGAAACAGGTAAGAAATTAGAACTAGGGTTCTTTAAGAAGGTTACTAAGTCTTTGATAAACATAAATGTCAAAATTTACATTATCCCAATATCTTTCACAAGCTGGTAGTTTCCTTGAATCTTTATACTACATCTGTTATTACATATTTTTTTTCTACCTGACATTTTGAAATAAATGTGTTGTAATAAAATAAAATGAGCTATGAAATGGATTTTAGTGTACTTGCTTAAACTTTACATGCACTTAAGTTCAGATAGGGTCCTCTCTGATCCCAAATAATCGTTAAATAAAAAAACATTGTGAAATTCTGTTAATTTCAAACATAATGTAACTAAAATACAGACTTTTAAAAATTTTATCTATTGATAAAGAATGCAATAAATTAGCTATATTTGCTATACTATAAATGCTGCTCTACACCAACAATGCTAGGAATGGATACTAAGGTAGCAATGAGACTAAAAATGCTATAACAGGATCTTTATTGTCTCTACGTTTCGACTACAAGTCTTCTTCTGGAGAGTGCGACACCATAGTGCTTTACAAGGGCATATATTAGGTTCTGGTCACTGCACTGTGTCACTCTCTGATTGGTCCATTATCACTGTCTGTCAACCACCACCCGACTAATCAGTGCCCTGCTCTCATCTCACTGGGCTCACTGCCATTTCTGCTCACTTGTAGTCTCCTGCTATGCTGTTTATGTTCTTTTCTAAGATGTAAGCAGCTTCTATAATTTTTCTTTGTTGCTTTTCCAGCCCTTTGTTGATAATTCTAGTTTCCTTCCTGAAGAAGACTTGTAGTCGAAACATTGATTCTGTTATATCATTCTTTGTCTCATTGCTACCTTAGTATCCATTTGTCAATATGAATAATACTCAATGTTAAGGATGTCTCAGTAACTTTTTTTGGTTGAAAATCGATACCAATGTTTGAAAAAATAAGCTGATACTGACAACTGGGAACTCTCTATGGCTTTAGGAAAGATAGGCAGGCCTGATGAACAACTACTCTAGAAATTTTTCTTCCAGCTTCTGAAATACAGGCCTGCAACAGAGTTGGGAAATTTAATCAATTATATATGAGTAGCATTTACATTAAGCAGTATTTCATAAATGAATCAATTGAAATTACAATTGAATTAATTAATCAAAATTATGATTTATCCGATTAATCAAGATTAGTGTGTTCTGATTATTACTATTTTTGATCATTCCAACAATCAATTACTTGAAATTATGAAACTTTTTTTTTTGAACTTCTGATCAGTGGGAACTGGCATCAGCCTATTTTTACATTCCATGGATTGAGAAATATTGCACTAATCAATAATTAGGGCTGTTGATTAATCAATTAGAAAATACCATTAATCATCCAGTTCTAGGCTGCAGCCTATAGCAATTTATTTTATTGGAAAAAACTACAGATCTAGCAACAGATAGCATTTCACCTATATTACCTCATATGGGAAACTAGGTCTTAGACTTAGTCAACTTGGTGCATGTCTAAATAGGATTACATATACTAATATAACATCATAAGTTATTTGTTTGTATTCAGTTTTCACAGTGTTTAAGGTAATTTTTATTGTAGAAATGTATAAATAACCCTTTTTTTTAATAATCAAGTTTAATGAATTCACAAATCATGAGCATAGCAGGAAGAGCTATTTGCTGATACAATTATACGGGTACATCCCAAACCACACCACCATGACTAAGAATAATAAAATAGCAAATTAGTAGAGCACAGCAAGATAGGTGTGAGTACAACAAGAGCTTCTGTGAGACTGAGTAATACATAACATTCAATATCGGGAACAAGTAGACCTTATGGTAGTTCACTCCATAGCCAATACAAAGGAAAAATGTACTTTAAAAATGTCAAAGTAACATTTATTGAAACATATAGAATTGCACAGAGATCACATAGACCAAACATAAGCTAGCTTAAGCCACTACAAATAAGGAAGAAAAATTAATTTAAAAAATTTTTAAACATTTCATTGTTTTCCAAGTCATCAGTGCAAAAATTAGTTATTCTAAAATTAATACATTTTAAGTTATCATTTTGCTCGAATGCATATTCCACCCCAAGCAAGTATTTAAGAGTTATGTATGTGATAACTTAGAAGTATGGTTAAAACCACTGATAAGATATATATCTTGGTCATAAAATTACACAAAAGTATAACACTGTAAATTGTAATGGTTTTCAAACGAGACCCAAAACTCGAGTGCTTTCGAATAGTTCACTATTCTTTTTCAGGTGAACTATTCAAAAGCGCTCAAGTTTTGGGTCTTGTTTCAAAATCATTACAACTTTTGTATGTGATCCTGTGTGCTAACTTCTTAATCAAAACTGTAAATTGTAATTACTGAAATACCAAACTCTGTATCTTTAAACACTTTTGGATGTGAAATTATATAGTTTCAGTCTCATTAATTCCTGATAGCAGATGTAACACTAACTCAAAACTAATAATAATAACTATGCCTACACAATCTATCAGTATCAAAGAATTAATAAGTATTGTTATGCAATAATTAACCAACGGCCCAAAGGTACAATCATCATATATTTAATATAAATCTATTTAGAATTTTTTTAAAAAAAAAATACATAGTATTTTATGTAACCTTGTTTCTTGATATTTACTTTAAAAAACTGTCACCTTGTCCTCTTACTCAAATATCATATTCTTACCTAAGGCTAAATTTAACCCTACACATAGCACTACTGCTAGTAGTATTACTATTAATAAACTATTTAGACGTTTAACTTTTAAGGTAAAACAGTTTTAATAACAATAGCCTAAATAGGAAGTTCAGTAATCTTCGTCGAAGAGGTTGAATTAGTTACCAGTTCAACTTTCCAGTTCTTTTATTTAAGAATATTATGAACATGGAAAGAAAAATGGGGATATAATTTAACATTAATATAATATCTTCTTCTATATTCTTAAAATCACAACCAAAAAAAATTGATTTATTGTAAGAAGAAAACAAACGGGTAACAACCGGGACTTTTACCCACTAGGTGGCATCATATCTATTAGTTCTAACAATAACAACTTATTGTGGAAATAAAAAAAATCCAAAACAAATTACCTGCACTCCCGAAACCATCCTCAAATTCATAAATGTCACAGAAAAACAACAGGATTTTTAACGTAATAGCAAAAAATGTGGTTTTCAGTGTATTCTGCTCACTATTAGAAGTTTTTATTTTATTTTTTAATTACTTCTACTGCCGAAATCTCCCTCAAATTGACGTAAGTCGCAAGCAAACAACGGGGCTGTAATATAAGAAGGAAAAAACGGAGACCTCCAAAATCATCTATCCCCAAATAAATCTATTAGATCCTACATCCTGTATGAAATAAACGTTCTAACAAATTACTTTAACTTCCGAAACATTATCACGCGTAACAAACACCAATGTAGCTTTAACATAAGAATAAATAAATTAGGGTATTCAAGGCTCTCAAACACACAACGGGGTGTATAAACTTGAAGCTCCAACATATTGTTACGTCTCCGTTTGTTAATTGATTTTCCGTAACTTCGTTCCGACGAAACTTTAGCGACACAAGTCCTTACTTAATAAACCTGGTTTATTCTTTCTGAATATAACTTTACGGTACACTTAATTTCAACAATCGCGCTAAAACAAATGCTATAACAACGAACGTGCTCAATAATACTCTCTGACTGCAGATCAATTACTTACTGTCTACCCACACATTAATATTCCGTCACGTTGTCACCCTCTTATATATACCAGGCTACCCTATATCTAGTAATCTCCTGACAATGCCCGAAGGTTCGAAAGAACGAGTCACGTGACCTCGCTGACGCAACAATATTTTGGAAATTGAAAATAATAAACAATTCTTGCATTCCGAAGCCATTATCAAATTTATATATACCAGAGACAAAAAAACAGAGATTTAATATAAGAATAAGAAAAAATATGGGTCTCCATGGTCGTTTATCAACTAGGGGGAATGAAATCTATTAGCTCTAACATGTTGTGGAAAACAAAAATTCAAGAAAATCACTTTCGCTTCCGAAGACAGTCTCCAATTCACAAATGTCATCAATTTACATTGAATATTAGAACAAACAAATGAGATTTTCAAGATATATTATACACACTAGAGAGCATAAAATATTGTAATATCTATATGCTTTAGAAAAGAAATATTCCAAAAATGTCTTATATTTCCAAAGCTACCTTAAAGTTCACATATGTGATAGAAAACTAACAGATTTGAAGTTTCAAAGATTGTTTACATAATAGTGGCATCAGATCTACTCGTTCCAATATGTTGTGGAAAACGAAAATTCGAAAAACTTAGGAAGGCACCTTAAAATTCAGGTATTTGACAGAAAACCGACAAAGCTTTAAAGTTTAAACGTCTCTAGAGTCGTTTACCCATATATTCCTTATAGAAAGAAAAGGGTAGCTGCAAGTGAAAAACCAGGTTGGCTCGCAAAAATAAAAAAAGCATAATAGATTTAAGAAATATAAATTGACTAGTATGACAGGAGATTTAAAAGATTATAGAAGATCAAGAAAGTTTGTGAAACAGGAAATTAGGACATCAAAAAGGATTTGTGAGGAAAGTTAGCTGAAAATGTAAAAATTAACAGTAAGGATTTCTATAAATACATTAAGGGTAAACAAAACGTTAGATGGGGGTAGGACCGTTGAGGGATGATTAAGGAAGGCTCGTATCTGATGATTATGAGCTGGCTGGGTTATGAATTTTGCCTTTTCTTTGGTTTTTACTAACGAAAATTCAAGCAGTATTCTACATCTTGATAGATAGAAACGAGATCGAATACGATGAATGCATTAATTCTGAGCTGGTTAAGAAAAAATTGTGAAGTTTAAAGAACAATAAGGTTCCTTGGCCAGATAATATTTCCTCAAAGGTTTTGAAGGAGGTTAAAGATTGGATATGTGAGCCACATGATAGTAAATTGTGTCAGTTATTGAATAGTTGGCAGGTACCAGAAAATTGGATATGAGCTAATGTAACTCCTCTTTTCAAGGGAGATGATAACAATTTCCCAGTAATTATAGACCCATTAGTCTTGCATTAGTTGTGGGAAGAGTTTTGGAAAGGCTGACTAAAGATGCTTTGCAAAGTGATTTAACAAAAATTAGAATATTATTGGATAATCAACATGGTTTCACCAAGGGAAAATCTTGCCTTACAAATCTTTTAACATCCTGAGAAGGTTACTGTTTATTTAGATGAGAATAGGAATGTAGATTTGGTGTATCTGGATTTTCAGAAAGCATTTGACAAGGTGCAACATAAAAGGCTTGTAAAAAAAAGTACCTCTATAGGTGTGAAAGATAAGTTAGCAAATTGGATAGAAGAGTGGCTGTATAAGAGAAAGCAGGGGGTTGTTATAAATGTAGATCAGTCAAACTGGATTAATGTCACAAGTGGAAGATCAAATATAAATGTTGGCAGGGTAGGAGTCATGGGCGCCCGCAGGAAGGGGCAAGGTGGGTCACATGACCCCCCCCCCGGATTTTCAAAAAGAAAAGAATACTAGACATGTAAAATTATTCTTCTTATAAGGTATTTGTATTTAGATTTCATTTTTTTTCAAACTTGAGTTACTTGATCCCCCTAATTTTTTTCTGCGGGCGTCCTTGGTAGGAGTCATCTTCAGATGTTTCTCTTTTTTCAGTTATATATTTCTAACAGGGTGTTTTGTCATTGGAATGGATTGCCTTTGGATGTTGTGAAAGCAATAAATTTAAATGAGTTTAGGAGAAAGCTTAATAGGTATATGAATGATAAGGGTTGGCTTTAAGACTTTTTAAGAATTTATTTATTAATAGTTTTAGTTTAGTTTAGAAGATG